GAAATTTAATCTTGCGGGGAGAGTAGGCTGGAAGTTCGGAGTGATTGTTTCCTCTTATAGGCCAAAAAATTTGTTTGGTTACTTAGTGGTAGCATTTAGAGAGGAAAGTTTACAGAAAACTAGGGTTATTTTGTGATTATGCTTGAATTGTCTTTATTGTTTCCAACGCATCTTTTTTTTTAACTTCTAGTTATCAAGGTGTTAGGTTCCATGCCCTTGTGGGCCTTCCCTCTGCCCAAAAAAAGCATGGATGAGCAGAGTCATATTAAAATGGCAGTCTGTGTTAGTTTTTCTAGAGAAGATGATCTCTTTGGTAGGCTGGGTATGTCTTCGGCCAATGAGTTATTTATACATATAAACTATTAAGTTGGTAAGTATTTCTCTTTTTTTTTTGAGATGGAGTTTCACTCTTGTCTCCCAGGCTGGAGTGCAATGGTGCAATCTCGGCTCACTGCAACCTCCTCCTGGGTTCAAGCGATTCTTCAGCCTCAGCCTCCCAAGTAGTTGGGATTATAGGCACCCACCACTATGCCTGATTAATATTGTTTTGTATTTTTAGTAGAGACGGGGTTTCACCACATTGGCCAGGCTAGTCTCGAACTCCTGACCTCAGGTGATCCACCCATCTTGGCCTCCCAAAGTGCTGGGATTACAGAGGTGAGCCACCAAGCTTGGCCTAAGTTCATATTTCTGTGTAAAACTGCAATTTCAACTACATAGGTAACTGTACTCTTTGTGAATGAATCATCGAAGTTATTTAAAAATTCCTTTAAGTAAAAAATATAAAGACCATCCTGGCTAACACGGTGAAACCCCATCTCTACTAAAAAAATACAAAAAACTAGCTGGGCGAGGTGGCGGGTGCCTGTAGTGCCAGCTACTTGGGAGGCTGAGGTAGGAGAATCACGTAAACCCGGGAGGCGGAGAGTGAGCTGAGATCCGGTCACTGCACTCCAGCCTGGGCGACAGAGCGAGACTCCGTCTCAAAAAAAAAAAAAAAAAAAAAAAATATATATATATATATATATATATATATATGTATATATATATAAAAACATGAACTAGAGCTATATATATCATTGTGAATGAATCTTAAAAGTGTAAGGTTAGACCTCAAAAGCAAGTTATATAAGAATATGTATAGTCTGCTGTTATTTATATACATTTTAAAAACCTACAGAACCACTCATACTATGCTGGTGGAGTATAAGTTGGTATCCTACCTCTACATGAGTGTGACAGCACTGACAGCATTTATTAAAATTAACCTAACAATTCAACTTCTGGGAATTATTCTATAGATGTACTCATGTGTATGAAATAATGGGTTATTCACTGCCATATTGTTGTAAATTTTTTTTTTTTTTTTTTTTTTTTTTGACACAGAGTCTCGCTCTGTCTCCCAGGCTGGAGTGAGTGGCGCGATCTCGGCTCACTGCAAGCTCCGCCTCCCGGGTTCCCGGCATTCTCCTGCCTCAGCCTCCCGAGCAGCTGGGACTACAGGCTCCGCCACCACGCCCGGCTAATATTTTTTGTATTTTTAGTAGAGACGGGGTTTCACCGTGGTCTCGATCTCCTGACCTTGTGATCCGCCCGCTTCGGCCTCCCAAAGTGCTGGGATTACAGGCTTGAGCCACCGCGCCCGGCCTGTTGTAAATATTAATACAAAAATTTGGAAGTAACCTTTCTAATAATGTAATAGTAATGGTTTATCCATGTAGTGAAATACTTTTCAAACATTAAGAAAGAAAAAGGGAGGAACTTTGTATATTTTAGAGAACAATTTCCAGGGTGTATTTTTAAGAGGAAAAAGTAGAACAGTTTGTTTAATATGCCTACCACTTATGTATAAAAGGCAGGGGCAAATCTGTATCTTAAGTGTGACTGCTTTTATATATAGAGTGTGTCTCTTTAAAGATACACACAAGCTTCGTTATGTTAGTTGCTCAATATAGGGGACTAGGTACAGGAGGACACTGTGTTGCACTGTAGATGCTTTTGTACTTTTGAATTGTGTGTATAGTGCAGATATTGTGTTATCAAAATATATACAATTACATTTATAAAAAACATGAAAAATAATGTTACTATATTTTTTATGGATTCATAACCATGTGAAAATATATAAATGTGGGAAACACAAACATCAAATTCATGATAGTGGTTACTTCTGAGGACAGATGAAGGATAAGGGAATCTGGGAGGAGTCATGCAGGGCTTGAGTTGTATCTGTAATGTTTTATTGCTTAAGCTGATGGTGGCTCATGGGTATGTGGAATGCCCTTGATGTGCTTGAAATGTTTTGTTTGCTTTCTTAAATTACCACCCATAGCTTTTAAAGCCCACCCTTCCCCAGGATTAAGCTATTTCCTTAACATGTTTTTATTCTTTCGATTTTAAAGTGGGAATAAAATGGTTAGGCGTCTGGAATATCTTTAGTAGATATTTCTATCTTTGCTGCTTCTCTATCCCATTTAAATCCTCTGTTTCAAAGTATGATCTTGTTTCCCTTCAGGATTAATATCCAATTAGAAGAGCATTTGTTACAATGTTATGCAGTTAGACAAAGTTCCCTTAGATAGCACTAGCATGGTTGTTAGCTAATATTTAGTTGACTAATCTGCTATTCTTGTGAGGAGTACATTGTGAATGCTGGTAACCTTTGCTCTGAGTAACGTGCAAGTCTTCCATGGCCAAAATATTTATCTTCCATTTCATTTAAAAGCAAAACCTTAGCATTATTCTAAAAACTAACAGTCTGAAGAATAAAGTTTGAATTTTGAAAAAGGGGGGAATCCCTTAGTAATGCATATGCCTGACAAAGTCCATTTACTACATTCATTGATTGACTATGGAACAGCATTTAGTTTGGCTACAGCTGAGTTTACTCACTGGGGAGAATATTTAGCCTGGTTTTGAGAAAACAGTTTAGTTTCTGATACCATGCCAAGCCCTTTGTCCCTCTCACTGCACAGTGATGATGGGGAGAATGGATAGGTCAAAAGACTTGGAGTCAGAAGACCTGTCCCAACTTGATCACAATAGCTTTACTTCCACAACTTATAGAATCTCTTAGGACCTCAGTTTCTTTATCTGTAAAGGACAATACCTCCATCGTAGGTTTATGCTCAAATGTGATAATGTGAGTGTCTCCTAAGCTATTAGATGCCATGTTTTAAAAAGTATTATGCTACTGAAGGCCAGGTGCGGTGGCTTATGCCTGTAATCCCAGCACTTTGGGAGGCCGAGGCGGGCGGATCACGAGGTCAAGATATTGAGACCATCCTGGCCAACATGGTGAAACCCAATCTCTACTAAAAATATAAAAATAGCTGGGCATGGTGGCATGCGCCTGTTGTCCCAGCTACTTGGCAGGATGAGGCAGGAGAATCGCTTGAACCCGGGAGGTGGAGGTTGCAGTGAGCCGAGATTGTGCCACTGCACTCTAGCCTGGCGATAGAGCGAGATTCCATCTCAAAAAAAAAAAAGAAAAAGTATTATGCTACTTAAATTTTAATAGTGAAGTATGTTGGTAACTGGATTCAGGCAAATATTTCTGTTGCTTCGAGTAAGGGAAATGTAACAGATTATAATATGATGGCCTTCAATTACCAAGATTTTGCTGAGATGAAAGAGGGAGGGGAAGAATGGGTAATGTGGAGGGGATATTGCCCACCCTAAATGAGAACATTTTAGAGTCGTCAGTGTTGGGATATTATTTCAGACTCTTAGAGGAAAAAATTTGTATCAAATTAAAATCGGGAATAATCATGTTATACAAAATTTATGACGTTTCTTTAGGACTTCTCAGAGCTTTAACATATTAATGAGCATAGTGAGTCTACGAAAGGGACTCACTGTGCTTATTATTAACACATTAAATAATAAATGTGACTGGGCGTGGTGGGTCATGCCTATAATCCCAGCACTTTGGGAGGCCGAGGCGGGCGGATAACAAGGTCACGAGTTTGAGACTAGCCTGGGCAATATGGTGAAACCCTGTCTCTATTAAAAATACAAAAATTAGTCAGGCATGGTGGCGGGCCCCTTTAGCCGTAGCTACTCTGGAGCCTGAGGTAGGAGAATCGCTTGAACTCGGGAGGCGGAGGTTGCAGTGAGCCGAGATCGCAACACTGCACTCCAGCCTGGGCGATAGAGCGAGACTCCATCTTAAAAAAAAAAAAAAAGGTTATTTCCTACCAAATGGAAATATAGGAAATATACATCCTTTCCCAGACATACTTGATTATGCAATCTTTTTCCCTGGAGAGTCTTCAGTTCTAGTGTGTTGTAGAGTGTACTTTAGAAAATTTATTCTAATAGTTTTCATTTTATTATTTTTCTAGCCCATAGAAAATTAGAATCCCCACGCAGAACATTAGAGAGGGGATTTAAGAGTAGAATCCTGGGCTGGGCACAGTGGGAGGTGGGTGGATCACGAGGTCAGGAGATCGAGACCTCCCTGGCCCACATGGTGAGACCCCATCTCTAGTAAAAATACAAAATTAGCTGGGCGTGGCACATTCCCATAGTCCCAGCCTCTCAGGAGGCTGAGGCAGGAGAATCACTTGAATCCGGGAGGCGCAGGTTGCAGTGAGCCGAGATTGCACCACTGCACTCCAGCCTAGTGATAGAGTGAGACTCTATCTCAACAACAACAAAAAAAAAAAGAAAAAGAAAAAGAGTTGATTCCTGATAGGCTATAAAGGCTGGGATACAAATTCAAAAAGCAGAAAACCACAGGAGCTGGAACATTCTAGGCTGGGAGCAAAAAACCCTATCCCACTAAATAACTCCCACTGTTGTCACTGTGTGAGGGTATAAGGAGCAGTTGATACTCATAAGTTAACATTTGCTTGGTTCCCAGTCTTCATGTACAGTGTGTTCCATTTAAGAAGTCGTGACCATGTGTAGTACAATTAGAAAAGCTGTTTTCAAAAAATATTACTTTTGTTAACTTGTTAATTTTAATGGTGAATATCATATTTCAGAAAATCCACCCTCCTTTTCTTGTCAGGGACTGACTGTGTGGTCCTGCTCCCTGTTATGTATGGAGGCAGAGGGAAAGGGGCTCTGGCCCCCTCAACATCATGTCTTTGGTGCCAGCCGGTTCTGTCCTCAGTTGCCTGGATACTGAACTTCTTTGAGCAGGGCAGAACTGAGATCCAGTGGGCTGCTCCTGAGGATGCTTACGCTTTCTCATTTGATTTCAGGTCCCCTCTTTTGCTTCCCATTGCAACCAATAAAGGCCATTCCTACCATAAAGAAATAAAAAAGAAAATCTATCTTTAATGAATAAATAACAACTGTATAAATCTATGGGGCACAATGTGATGTTTTGATACATGTATACATACATTCTACACTGATCAAATCAGGCCAAGTAGTATATCCATCTCCTCAAGTATTTCTCATTACTTTGTGGTGAGAACATTTAAAGTTCCCTTTTTTAACTCTTTTGAAAAATTAATATATTAACTGTAATCATGATGCTATGCAATACAACACCAGGATCCTGTTCCCTTAATTTTATGTAGCCATTGACCAATATCTTCCTTTTCCCCTCCAGCCCCACTTACCCCAGCGACTGGTAATCATCATTCTACTCTCTACTTCTGTGAGTTTGCCTTTTTTAGATTCCAAATATAAGTGAGTCTTAGACACCTCTGACATACTGATTTCAATTCCTTTGGATTTATACTCAGTAATGGGATTGCTGGATCATATAGTAATTCTATTTTTAGTTTTGTGAGGAACCTCTATATTGTTTTACAAAATGGCTGTATTTATAGTTCCACCAACAGTGTATAAGTATTCCATTTCTCTGTGTCCTTGTGAATACTTATCTTTCATCTTTTTGATAATAGCCAGTCTAACAGGTGTGAGGTGATACCTTATTGTGGCTTTAATTTGCATTTCTCTTATGATTAGAGATGTTCAGCATTTTTTCATCTATCTGTTGGCCATTTATTTGTCTTTTTTATTTTTTATTTTTATTTTTTAGACAGTGTCTCACTCTGTTGCCCAGGCTGGAGTGCAGTGGCATGATCATGGCTCACTGCAACCTTGATCTCCTGGGCTCAAGCGATCCTCCCACCTCTGCTGGGACTACAGGCATACACCACCACGGCTAGCTAATTTATGTATGTTTTATAGAGACAGGGTCTCACCATGTTGCTTAGACTGGTCTTGTACTCCTGGGCTCAAGCAGTCCACCCACCTCGGCCTCCCAAAGTGCTGAGATTATAGGCATGAGCCACCGTGCCTGGCTGGATATTAGCTATATATCTGATGCTTTATTTGTAAATATGTTTTCTCAGTCTTTAGTTTGTCTCTTCACTCTATTTGTTCTTGTTTATTTGTTTTTTTTTTTTTTTTTTTGAGATGGAGTCTCGCTCTGTCGCCCAGGCTGGAGTGCAGTCGGCTCACAGCAACCTCTGCCTCCCTAGTTCAAGTGATTCTCCTGCCTCAGCCTCATGAGTAGTTGGGACTATAGGTGTGCACCGCTATGCTCAGCTAATTTTGTATTTTTAGTAGAGACGGTGCTTCACCATGTTGGTCAGGCTGGTCTCGAACTCCTGACCTTCTGATCCGCCTGCCGCAGCCTGCCAAAGTGTTGGGATTACAGGCGTAAGCCACCGTGCCCGGCCTGTTTGTTTGTTTTTTGCTGTACAGAAGCTTTTTAGTTTGATGTCATACCATTTGTTTATTATTGCTTTTGTTGCCTGTGCATTAGGGGGTCATATCCAAGAAATAATTGTCCACCCGTGTCATGGAGCTTCTCGTCTAAGTTCTCTTCTGGTAGGTTTATAATTTCAGGTCTTAAATTTAATCCATTTTAAGTTGATACTTGTTAAGGGGTGAGATAAGGGTCCATTTCCATTCTTCTGTATGCGGCTACCCAGTTTTTCAAATAACATTATTGAAGAGACTGCCCTTTCCCCATTGTGTAGTCTTGGCACCTTTGTCAAAAATCCATTGACTGTAGATATATGTGTTTATTCTGGGCTGTTCATCCTATTCCATTGGTTGACATGTCTGTTTTTATGTCAGTGCCATGCTGTTTTAATTACTATAGGTTTGTAATATATTTTCAAACATGGTAGTGTGATGCCTCCAGCTTTGTTCTCTTTGGACCTAAAGTCTATTTTGTCTGAAATAAGTATCGCTACCTCTGTTCTCTTTCTGTTTGCATTTGTATGGAATATCTTTTTCAGTCCCTTCATTTTCAGTCTATGAGGTCTGTGAGTGTCCTTTATAGTGAAGTGAGTCTCTATTATAGGCAGTGTAGAGTTGGGTCTTGTTTTTTATCCATTTAGCCACTCTATGCCTATTGTTTGGAGAATTTAATCTATTTAAAATCAAAGTAATTATTGATAGGTAAGGACTTAGTAGTGCCATTTTGTTAATTGTTTTCTAGTTTTTCTGTAGAACCTTTGTTCCTTTCACTATTACTTTCCCCCTTTGTGGCTTGATAGCTTCCTGTAGTGGTTCGCTTTGGAGTTTTTCTTTTTATCTTTTGCAAAAGCAAAGGCTTTTGCTTTGTAGTTACCCTGTGGCTTACATAAAACATCTTATAACTGGTATATAAGCTGGTAACAAGTTAACTTTGATCACATACACAAATTCTGTTTTTACTCCCCCTCCTCCATGTTTTATGTTCATGATGTCACAATATACATTTTAAAAATAATTTGTATCTTTAACAGATTATTGTAGCTTTATTATTTTTTTGAGGCGGAGTTTCACTCTTGTTGCCCAGGCCAGAGTGCAACGGCGTGATCTTGGCTCACCCCAGCCTCCGCCTCCCAGGGGTTCAAGCTATTCTTCTGCTTCAGCCTTGTGAGTAGCTGGGATTACAGGCATGCGCCACCACCCCCGGCTAATTTTGTATTTTTAGTAGAGACAGGGTTTCTCCATGTTGGTTAGCCTGGTCTCAAACTCCCAGCCTCAGGTGATCCACCTGCTTCGGCCTCTCAAAGTGCTGGGATTATAGGTGTGAGCCACTGTGACTGGCTAGCTTTAACTATTCTTAGTAGTTTTCTCTTTTAACCTTTATATTAGATATATAATTGATTTACTCACCACTAATTCAGTATTAGTGTGTTTTGGGTTTGACAGTATACTTACTTTTTCCATTGAGTTTTATACTTTTCACGTATTTTCTTGTTACTCATTAGTGTCCTCTTTCTTCAGCTGGAAGAACTTCCTTTACCATTTCTTTTTCTGTTTCTTTTTGTTTGTTTGAGATGAAGTCTCACTTTGTTGCCCAGGCCAGAGTGTAGTGGCGAGATCTCGGCTCATTGCAACCTCTGCCTGCTCTCTTCAAGCGATCCTCCCACCTCAGCCTCCCAAGTAGCTAGGATTACAGGTGTACACCATGACTCACAACTAATTTTTTTTGTGTGTGTGTTTTTAGTAGAGACAGGGTTTCACTATGTTGGCCAGGCCTGTTTTGAACTCTTAACCTCAAGTGCTCCACCTGCCTTGACCTCCCAAGGTGCTGGGATTACAGGCGGGAGCCACCATGCCTGACCACTGTTTTTCATTCTTTATCCTTTTCTTCCTCAAGTCGTATGATTTCCAGTGGCCTGTCTTCTAATTACTAATCATTTCTTCTGCTTGATGTAGCCTGCAGTTGAACCCCTTTATTGAATTTTTCAGTTCAGTTACACTATTCTTCAGCTCTATGATTATGTACTTCTTTAGAAAATCCACTTTTCAACTGATAAACTAACTATATCCGTTTGTAGGGTTGCAGTAACAGTGCCACAGACTCAATGACTTACAGCAACAGAAAATTATTCTTTGCCAGTGCTGGAGGTCAGAAATTTGAAATCAAATGGCCATCAGGGCCATGTTTCTTCTGAAGGCTCTAGTAGAGAATCTGTTCCTTGCCTCTTCCAGCTGCTGCTGCTTTTTTTTTTTTTTTTTCTTGAGACGGAGTCTCATTCTGTCACCCAGAATAGAGTGCAGTGGTGTGATCTCATTTCACTGCAGTCTCCTCCTCCTGGATTCAACAAGTGATTCTCCTGCCTCAGTCTCCCAAGTAGCTGGGACTACAGGCGCGTTCTGCCACGCCTGGGTAATTTTTGTATTTTTAGTAGAGATGGGGTTTCGCCATGTTGGCCAGGCTGGTCTCGAACTCCTGACCTCAGGTGATCCACCCGCCTCGGCCTCCCAAAGTGCTGGGATTACAGGCGTGAACCACCGCGCCCGGCCCTCTTCCAGCTTCTTGTGGCTCCTGATGTTCCTTGGTTTGTAATAGCATAACTCCAGTCTCTGCCTCTGTCTTCACATGGCTGCGCTCTCTTGCTTGCTAGCTAGCTCGCTCGCTCTCTCTCTCTCTGTGTGTTTGTGTGTGTGTGTGTGTGTTCTCTCCTCCTCTTATAAGGATACCAGGCATTAGATATAGGGCTCACTCTAAATCCAGTAAGATTTCATCTTCAAATCCTTCACTAACCACATCTGTAAAGATCCTATTTCCAAATAATATAACAATCAGAGATTCTGGGTTGACATCGATTTTGTGGGGACGTTATTCACTTCACTACACTTGTTTTTATATTTTGTATGCTTTTAGTTTTATGCTTTCTTTCTTAGTTTTTAAGTAACTTTTAAATTGGTTTGATAGAATGTATTAATAAAATGTCTGTGGGCTGGGCACGGTGGCTCATGCCTGTAATCGCAGCACTTTGGGAGGCGGGGGGGGGGGCGCAGATCACCCGAGGTCAGGAGTTTAAGACCAGCCTGACCAACATGGTGAAACCCCATCTCTACTAAACATACAAAAATTAGCCGGGCGAGGTGGTAGGTGCCTGTAATCCCAGCTACTTGGGAGGCTGAGGTAGGAGAATCGCTTGAACCCAAGAGGCGGAGGTTGCAGTGAGCCGAGATCACGCCATTGCACTCCAGCCTGGGCAACAAGAGCTAAACTCCATCTTAAAAAATAAAATAAAATAAAATAAAATGTCTGTGGAATCCTAAGACATTGAAATTGATATGAGGCAGGTTTTCAGTACACTGGATTCATGTTCTGATACAGGAAGGAGGTCATAGTAGCAGTGCCTGGAACATAGTAGGAGTACCAACTGGTACTCAAATATTTCTTGAATGAGTGAATCTGTATGATTGAA